GGGCTCGGCGCCTACCCGGTTGGCGGTGATGCTGTTTTTCAGGGCGAGCACGGCGTCCATGCGTCTCCTCAGCTGCTTGCGGTTCTCCAGCTCCTGCTCCCTCTCCTGCTCCTGAATCCTGGGGAGGGTGCACTTTGTTTTCTGTGGTTGTTAATCCCCACCCGAGGGTGTTTTTTCCTTTTTTCTTTTTTTTAAAAAAAATATATCTTTATTGATTTCAGAGAGAGGAAAGGAGAGGGAGAGAGAGAGATAGAAACATCAATGATGAGAGAGTCATTGATCGAGCCCACAACCGGGCATGTGCCCTGACCGGGAACCGAACCCCGATCGCCTGGATCCCAGGTCGACGCTCAACCGCTGAGCCAGGCCCGGGGCGGGCCTGAGGGTGTTTTTTCCATTGATTTTCAGAGGGGGGCGGGGAGAGAAACATCGATGTGTGAGACGCACATGGATGGGTTGCCCCCCACGTGCTCCCCGGCCGGGCCGGGGAGGCAACCTGCAACCTAGGGATGTGCCCTTGACCGGAAATCGAACCCGGGACCCCTCAGTCAGAGGGCCGGTGCTCTAACCACCGAGCCACGCCAGCCAGGGCAGGAGGGGGCGCCTTGCACGGTCAGCCGCGGGGAAGCGGCGCTGGGGCGGGAGGTGGGTGCGAGGACACGTGGGCCGAGACGCGCGTTTCCGGGCGGGCGGCTGGCGCACCTGTGGTCCTGCCCTGGACTCGCAGGGAGCAGCTAAAAGTGCACCTGTGCTGTCTCCTGACAAGGTGAGGACCCGACAGGCCGGGCGGGCGACCCCACGCGCAGGCGTTACCTTCCCAGCGAGGCCTTCAGGAACTTCACCGCCACCCTGTGGTTCCTCCTGGCGTCTTCCACCAGCTTCTGGTGCCTCAGCCCATGCTCCTTCTGGAGGTGCGTGGACTTCCTGCGGGACGCGGGGCGCCGGCTCTCAGCTCGCCCCGCCTGCCCCCCCCAGGGAACAGCACCCAGCACCCGGGGCTGGTGCGCACAGGCCGGGCGCCCGGGACAGGTCAGTAAACGCCTGGGGGCGGGGGGCCCAGAGGGGAGCCTTGAGCTGGGCTGGGCCGGGCTGGGGAAGCCCAGGGACCAGGACCAAGTGGGTGAGGCTCCAGGGACTTAGAGCCGCAGAGGGGGCAGGAAGGTGCGCCCAGGGTGGAACGGGGCGGAGTCAGGAGCCTCTGGAGGAGACGGAGCCGAGTGATGGGGGGTTGGGAGCAGAGGGGACGCCCACACCCACGCGCACACCCACGCCCCCAAGCGCAGGCCAGAGGAGGACCCACATTCTTCAGGCTGGGGAGCTGGGTCCCGTGGCTCCTGACACACCAGGAATGCCCACCCTGCGGGGGGGCCTCGGGAGGAGGGGGTGGGAAGGGCGTCCAGGAGGAACTGCGATGTGAGGTCAACAAGAGGGACTCTGGCCGGGGGCGTGGGGAGGGGGCCGGGCTGCAGATGGTGGGACCCCAGACAAGCTGGCTGTGGAGCCCGCGTGCGGAGGGCCAAGGAAGCGGCGAGGCCCCGGCCTGCAGGCTCCGGCCACCGACCTGACCCTCAGCAGCCGGTTCCTCTCCGCCTTCCCCCAGGCCGCCTTCTCCTGGCTGAGCTGCTTGGCCGCCTGCATCTGCAGGCACCGCCCGGCGGCCTCCTGCTCCTCTCGGGCGGACTTCTGCAGGACCTCCAGCTTGCCCTCCTGGATCCCGATGTGCCACATGGTGCTCCTGGCAAAGGAGGGGCACGGTCTGTGTCAGCACAGGGGCTGGCGGCCTGGGATCTGGAAGCCCAGGCACCGAGTTTTAACAAGCGCTCCAGCCGGACGTTGGATGAGGGAAAGAAGCTGATTTCATAGGTCCCAGGACACGAACACACGCGTGGAGGCGGAAACGCTTCGGAAGGTGAGGCCGGCTCTCTCACGTGGCCACTCAACAAGCCCCCATCCCATCTTTAGGCCGCTGGGGAGTCCCGTGCAGACACGTAAAGATTCTACGTGGTGTCCGTGGCCGTCAGGCCAGGGTGGGCAGCGGGGGCCCGGGACTCACTCGCTTTCCCTCAGCACGGCCCTGATTTTCGCCTGCAGGTCCCTCTCGTTCTCCAGCTCCGTGCACAGGCATCGGGACATGGCCTGGAGGCGGCCCACGGCTGCGCTGAGCGCCACAGGACAGCGGGAGGGGACGGTGGGAAACACCGGTCAGGGCCCGGGCCACCGAGAGCAGTCCCCGCATCCGTGAGGCCGTGTGCTCCCAGGGCCCCACTTAGGCTCAGCGGTGCCTTCCCCCGGCCTGCCATTTCCACGGGGACCCCCAGGCCCCCAGCTCTCCGTGGGCCTCTCGTGCTTCTGCAGGACGGGGGGCCGGCTGCCCCGTGGCCAGCCCCTCTGGGCAGCACGCCCACCCAGGCTCAGGGCCAGGAAGGACCCAGCACACTCAGTGGCCAAAAAGCCCCGAGAGGCCATGTGGGGTGTGGGCTCCCTCACTTTATTCCTCCTCCGTCCTGGAGCTGTGGTGACCTGAGCCCAGCTCTGATCTCAGATGGAACCGCGTGGGGGTGTGGAGGTGAGGGG